GTCTGAATGGGTGACTCTACGTCCGGACGATACAGATGTGACAGTGGTTGTTATTCAACCATGCATTTCTATGCAGTGTGTTACGCATTGAACCACCTGGAGAGAGAGAGATTGAGACAAGTTCGCAACGAACAAGGAATAAGGGGAGGGGCGGAGAATGATACAGAGATGCATTTACTTACAGTTCACCGCCATCTGTGAAGTTCTCGAACTTTTCTTCTTCTATACATGTGCATGATGAGGACTCTACTGGGCAACTATATGCCCAACCTTGATGCTGGTAGCTATAAGAAAGCGTTTCTGTCAAAATGGTGGCAGATCGCATAATCAGATGAAGTGACCGGACCCCATGTCTTTGAATTGAAGGACTTGGTCCTTACGGAGCGTCATCGAAAGTCCAAATGAATGGACCGGGGAGTCACTCCAACGTTCGTAGAAGAAGCCTATAAACAAAACATGTATTATTAATGACTGATTAGCGATTGGGCAGGAAATATGAATCAGCTTACCGCCAGCTCGGTCTAAGAACTCAAAAAGACGTGTATACAGAGGGTGATTCCATACACTTCGATGGGAAATCTCAAAGTTATTCTGAAAAAATATGAGGTTAGACAAACGAACTGGTTGGAGGATATCATATATGTACTCACATACATACATTGTTTCGTCCATTCGTCATTTCCTGCTTCACCGCGCATGGCTTTCGCTACACCTTCACTACTGTACCATGCGAAGCCTTGGTTGGCATCGGGTAGAAATTCGTCACGATGTTCAGCCATGAATGCAGATACATTCGACGCCAGTGTCGGCTGAACCCATTCTGCATCTATTGCTATCTGAACAAAGCCTGTATGTTAGGTCAGTCAACGTACTGTGTGCCACGCAGTGAACAGAAATGTACCATAAAGGGCATTATTATCAATCAGACGCTGAATAGGATCGTAGGGCTTGATTGTATTAACATAAGTGAGAAATCCTTCAATGAATGGGCCAGATTCTCACAATGTCACAATGAAACTCGATGTCTGTGTCAAGCCGCCATAGCCACTCATATGGTTGGAATGCAGGGTGATTCCAGAAGAAACCTGTATCAAGGATAAGAATGAGTTAAAGCAGGCTTGTAGTAGAGAAGGTAGATGTAGCGCTCGTGAGATGTATCGTCCCTGACCTGAATACCATCGACACATTGCTCGATATCCGTGTGAGAACCTTGAGGCCTAACGTCAGCTTAGGTCCCATCCTGCAAGAGCTTCAAATGCACCCAATCTTTTGCCTTGATGCCTCTACGAGTGATTTGTCGAGGAAGTCTGGAGTGTCCCAATGAGATTTAGGTACCTCGGCTGACCAATATCCTCAATGCCAGCTCAAACGTTCGGGCGAGATAGACTCTCACCAAATCTCGCTCGACCCTGAGTGATATGGGCTATCCTTTCCTTCTGCACCTCCGTGACCTCATCATACTCTCCCTCGACCATGAACAGAAGATATGGGTATTTGAGCCGACGATTGAATCGATTTTCCACGTTCCTGAGCGCCAAGGTGGCTTGTTGAACTCTTGAGGGAGGTAACAGCATGAATATCACCCCACTAGGTCTGTTTTCATCATGTGGCGTCCAAGATTGAGCGAAGTTCCTGACTGATGACCATCCATTGCGCCAAGGGAAGAAAGTGAGGAGGACGACGGTCACAATGAGAATGGCGATGATCGACCGTGGGCGTCGGAGAACGGAGGACAGTGATGAAGACATGTGAAAACGTGGGAGGGAAACAGGGAAGAAAGGAAAAGATTGAAGGACTCGAGCAAGACACGTTGTCTGCGTAGGACGTCGAAGAAACTCAGCGCGGTGCCTGAAATCAAAAGGCTCCGTCGGCTATTGGCAGCCGCACTTGAAGTTATCCTTGAAACACGTAAACGAGCGTCCATCAGTGAGTAAATGAGTCTGATCATGATCCCATCGGTATCAAAGAGAATTCGTGCCTTGGGTAGGAGCTTAAAGAGTATCAGATCCGTCACCGGCACGGTTGCCGGACTACTTCATCGTTGAATAAGTGCATTATGTACCAGCCTCCTACCTTCGAGGTCGAAGTAGGAAAATGTGAAGTAGTGAAAAAATCCCAAGTTGACATTACAAAAAGGCAATTGCGATTATTTCCTTCAACCTCTCAAACAGATTGAAGGAAATAAGGTTCTAGACGTATTCTCGGATCATTCCCTTTTTTGTACTGTTGACTTGAAATATATTTCTTCCCCCTTCCTACTTTCCTTCAACATCTGGGTAAGAGGCTGCTTATGTACTTATCTCTTCAAGCTCAAGCTTGATCTTTTCCCTTTAGACTAGATTCGTTGTTGTAATATACCGACTCGGACTTTGAATAAATCTCCTTGTTTGTCGGCTGTCTCCGCAAGAGTTTTCGTTGTCGAATAACCTTTAGTTGTTTACTTATATATAACACGGCCCATGGTCACCATCGACTCGTTGCACGTACTTATCTGATCGCTGACCAGGGCCTAGCTTTTTCCCGCACGACGTCGACTCCTGAGCTCCGAATCGGTTGATCACAGTCATCGCAGACCATACGCATATGCCAGAGTGGTCACCACTAGGGCTCCTTCCAGTTGAGCTGAAGCTGTACATATTGTCGTTTCTAGATGTAGAGGCGATTCTACTGATGCGTCTTGTAAGTGACGGATCATCACCAGTTTTCTTTCCTCATTGCGCATCAGACATGTATTGCTTTGGCGCAAATAACGAGGTCACGAACTTTATGGCTTGCTCTGCTTCACAAGAGTCAAGATATCCTTCCTTACTCATCCCACGTTCGGTCTCTTGCGAAACAGAATTACTCATCATGCTTGAATCCTTTACCGTTCATTGAATCGGCAGTGATTCACGCCTGTCGTTCGACTCGAACATGGCCCAGACAACGCATGCGGCAGCCTATCCAGTTACACAAACAAAACAGCGATAGTCGCTCTCTACTGTTTATGGAACTATACTTGGATAGATGGCTACTTTATGCATATACGGAAGGTCAAGTATACCTTTGGGATATCAATCCTTCCAATCTACCGCTAGATGGTAGAGGTTTGGCACCTCGTCAATGTGCGAGTTTGGATTTAGGTTCTCGAAATTGGACTTCATTAGCAGCGTCGCTTGATGCTTCGAATGAGTGCATCATAATCGCCCTGACGCGAGCATCCATGTGGGTGCTTTCTAATGACCGTCCTGAAATAAAATAACATTGTTTTATTTAGTCCATCATCAATCCAAATCTATCGCATTCAAATGAGACATGACCCTGATGCCGTTCTCGACAGCACTACTTTCGAGCTTCTTCACACTCTAGTCAGCCCTATACCGCAGCTAGTCAGAATGATACAGCCCTCCACGCAACTCATGATTTTATCCAGTCCAAGCACAGTCGACATCGTTGCCGTCAACACCCGTATAAACGCTCCGGTGGACGTCAGTGGAGAAGTTGTGGACACGAAACTGAACATTTCACCAGACAACCTTGAAGAACTGGTAGGTAGGCGATAATGACATCCTCTTTTGTGGACAGCTGACTATTCTGAGATGAATGGCGTAGTCGATGTACGCATCATAGAGACGTACGTCGTCGTTTTCAAGATGCGGTCCATTAAAATATATCCGCTTATGTTCGACATGACGTCGAATAAAGAAGCCTCTCGTTGCCAGTGTACTGTCGACTACGGCGTCCGAGACGACTTCCCGATTACGTCCCTCTGTTTCCGAAGTGTTTCAATATCCGAATTCATTGTGGATCAAGGGATCATATCATTCAGCTTCTGTGGGTACGACTTCCTGCGGGGTATATTCAGGTTCGAAGCACGAATTTTTCCGAGCCAGGTTTCCAACTCGAGGAGCGAGCACGGCCCTTTCCTTGATCTGAACTGCGTTGGAATATACCCAATATCCGACGTCATCGACAAGAACCATTTGCAATTGCTTGCGACAAGAGATCTGCCTTCGACATTGCATGCAAGTGATGCATCTAGCTCAAACACAAACTCGACGCCCAATATATCTCCGAAAGTCAGAAGTAACATGGATCATATATCTGTAGGGGCGAATTCTCGCGGGTTTGTGAGTGCGATGTCTCTGGGCCCGCAGGGTAAACGTGCCGTATGGGTAGAGAGAAGGCGCTCGAGCACTATTCGCGAGGTCTTCGTATGGCAGAAAGGAGTCGAAGATGAGGTTGTGATTCCTCGTCAAGCAGTTTATCGTGTAGAGTCGTACGATTTGAAAGGTGAGTGTATACGTTTGTGGATACATACAATGTCGATTGATCGTCTTTGACAGATGATCTTACGCATTGCGCGATCGGCGAAGTCAGCGGCACTATTGTGCTTGGGAACCGAGCGGGAGAAATCTTCATTCTAGGGATAGATCTCTAGTATCGTGTATTTCTTATATTCATCAATCATTGACATATCGCTACAAGAGCTCTATGGATCTCAGGCCTAGTCGAGATAGATAGCAACTCGCCTTGCTCGATGGAAGTCCACTGCCCGCCTAGCTCAATCGGATAGAGCGTCAGACTCTTACTTAGGCGGGTGCATCTGAAGGCTGCGAGTTCGACCCTCGCGGTGGGCTAGCAAACTATTCATGGATATATGAAACCTTTTTCCCTCTTCCTCCAAGGGAGAGGAAGATTCTGTAGGAAATAAGCACCGCGAGGTTTATTGGTGAGGTTCCGGACAGACAGCTGTTTGACTCCATCACTTTTCTTGAGTAAGGTTAGATTGGTATTGAGAACTTACCCCGGTAATTTTATGAACCATTGGTGAGTCAGCAATACTGCATATATACAACTGCGGACTATACGAATGGTGCGCTTGGATCGCGAAAATTATGTTGGGGAAACTATAACCGCTTTTCTCGCTTCACTGGGTTGAATACCCTCCTTTCAACCCCTTGATAGTATATAACATATGCATGAGGTATGACTTTTCCGAAAATGAAATTAGTCTATCTGCCCGCCTAGCTCAATCGGATAGAGCGTCAGACTCTTACCTAGGCATCTGAAGGCTGCGAGTTCGACCCTCGCGGTGGGCTATACACGAATTAAAGCTTTCTTTTTGCCTTTGGTGGTTACGGTTCGAAAATCATAAATACCCTAACTGATTTCAAAGGTGCCAAGCCACATTGATAAGATTTGCAATCGAGGAAACTGGTCATAGTTATGGCACTCATATTATCATATCAAACTCGTCGAAACAAAGTACTTAGTAGGTGACTGGCACCGCACATTGTCCGAAGAAATTACTTTCAGAAAAACAGAAAAATGCCGAAGACACTTGACGTCTAGAAAGGGAAGATATCAGTTGTTGCTGGCACGTTGTGTTCCAGTGTTTGATTTACCTTGACTGCGCAATTGTTTACCGGCGGTGGACGTCCGTCCTATTGGTGCTCCTGACCATGCGATGGGTGAATTTACAATCCTCCAACCTTGCCTGCACTATCTCGTCCGGCATATTCAGCATTCGCTTACGTTGATCGAGATCCTTGCGAGATGTGACGCGGCATATACGTTTGTGGAGTTGGAGATCGATATCCAACGTACCTGCGGGCCTTTGTTCCTTCTCGCCCAACCCATGAGACCGAGCCCAAGCGTTGCTCGTCGTCGGGGATGTCTGTCCGAGTGCTTAAGTCGGCCTCTGAGATTGGGGGAGATGGCAGAGATAATTTTGTTCTCGCGCACTGGACGGCTTCTGATTCCTCGAAGGCCTGGCTGAGTACATCGAGAGTCTGTTCGATCCAAACGCGTTGATTACGGTAGAATTCGTCAAGCGCATCGAGCAATATGGATGGCCAACGATGAGAGGTTACTCACCCAACCCTGAGGATTGTGTGCAATGTTGGCCTGAGCTTACTGCGTGAACTAGGTCCTCATGCCTCACGGCCATCTCAAACGAGTCCAACCCATGAAGAGAAGCGGAATAATTGCAAACTGGCGAACAAATCGAGATAATTTGCTGAGAAATGAATGCCTAGAATCTTTCTTCTAGATTTCTGGGCTGCTCAACCGATCTAGCTAGGACCTGAAACTGAAGTTTGGATGCCAGTCTGAAAAGATTTAGATCCGAGCCGTGGAGTCTTGCCTCCGATGCCATTCTCTGAATATCCAGAGAATCAAACGAATGAATGCGAAAGTGTCTGTGATAGACATTGACGTGCACTTGGAAGTCATAGCTCACCAGCTGAGATAAAAACGCCTCGTGAGCATAATCACGAAAAACAACAATCGATATTGACCATAATTTTTCATAATTAGTGGAGCGGGAGCAGGTTTGTTGCTGCCGCTGTTCACGCTGATGAGACAAGCTGGCTCGCAGTCCGGTCCGTGTTACACGCTGAATCATAAATTCTATCTGAGTACATACCCTTTTCAACAAAGAACTCAACCCCCGACGAGTCAACGAGCAGCTCCACGAGCATCGTACACGTGTACTGTCAGTGAGGGCATTGAAGGAAACAGTCTTAACCATCCATAGTCGGGCTTGGTTGTAAAAGAGTCGTTTAATCAGCTGTCGAGTACAATAGCAAAGGAAAACGCATTAAGGTCAGTACATGCCTTGGATCAGTTAGCACAGCAAGCGACGCCACAAGCGTGATCGTGCGGAAGCAGCTGAGTAAGCAGAAAAATGGAGGCTGTTTTTTATGAGTAAACGACCTTTGATCAACAACCATCATCTACTCTTAGATCGACCTCTTTTTTCTTCTTTTCACCACACGAAAAGTCCATAAAAGCAACCTTCGACACGACTTCAGTTCTTAGTTCTTTGACACTAATATGACAAATGGTCTTGTAAACGGTTCCACCGGAATTGAGGGACAATTGGGTGAGTCCTGCCAGCACGTCTCTCTTCCCGCTCTTTTCTAACCGCCTAGGACTGTTAGCTTCTCTCAATCTCGGCAAAAGTACTTATGTTCCTCCCCACATGAGGAATGCGCAGCGGGCTGCTCCCCCTTCCACCAACGGGTAAGACAATGCACTGTCTGAGTGGTAATTAAAAACTCATGGTCATTACAAAGAAACGGCTGGGCTGATTCCCGATCTGATACGCCTCCTGCAGCTGCCCGTGGTGGCTACGGAGGTGGTTTCGACCGTAATCGAGGCGCTTTTTCGAGCAACGGGACCCGTGGAGGCAACTGGGGTTCCTCGGGTGGCTCCTCCAACTGGGGCTCTTCCAATAGTCCCAGTCGTGAATCTGGCCCACGTGAGACCTTCGGCTATGGCACTTGGAAAGACGGTCAACATATGATCGGCGGTCGCAACATGCGTCTCGAGAAAGAGCTCTTTGGCGATGCTTCCGACCCTTCCAAGCAGCATACTGGCATCAACTTTGAAAAATATGATGATATTCCCGTCGAGGCTACAGGCGCTGGCGTACCTGACCCTGTCCTGTCATTTACAAGTCCTCCTTTGGACCCCGTTCTTTTGGAGAACATTGGATTTGCTAGGTACACCACGCCTACTCCTGTTCAAAAATACTCCATTCCTATCGTTGCCGGAGGGAGAGATCTGATGGCATGTGCACAGGTAAGACAATCTCCTTCTTTTCTAAAATTTGACAAACTTTGACTGAAACCTCCCGCGAAGACCGGCTCGGGAAAGACTGGAGGTTTCCTCTTCCCCATTCTTTCAGCATCTTTCACTCAGGGACCCCGTCCTCCCCCAGAGACACCCAATGTCAACAATTATGCTCGTACTCGTAAAGCTTATCCTACTGCTCTCGTTCTTGCTCCTACCCGCGAGCTTGCTTCCCAGATCCATGACGAAGCCCGTAAGTTTGCCTACCGCTCCTGGGTCCGCCCTGCGGTGGTTTACGGAGGTGCGGATATCAATCAGCAGCTCCGACAGATCGAGCGTGGGTGTGATCTCCTTACTGCCACCCCGGGCCGACTTGTGGACCTTATTGAGCGTGGCCGTATCAGCCTTGCGAACATTCAGTACCTTGTTCTTGATGAGGCCGATCGTATGTTGGACATGGGTTTCGAACCTCAAATCAGGCGTATTGTACAGGGCGAAGACATGCCTGGGACTCACCAGCGCCAAACTCTTATGTTCAGCGCCACGTTCCCTCGTGACATTCAGATGCTTGCCAAGGACTTCTTGAAGGATTATATCTTCCTTTCTGTTGGGCGCGTTGGCTCCACCAGCGAGAACATTACTCAGAAAATTGAGTACGTTGAGGATCATGACAAACGCAGTGTGCTTCTCGATATTCTCGCAAGCCAGTCTGATAACCTTGGGCTGACACTCGTCTTTGTTGAGACCAAACGCATGGCTGATATGCTCAGTGACTTCTTGATGGGCAACAGCCTTCCTGCGACTTCGATTCACGGTGACCGCTCTCAACGCGAGCGTGAGCAAGCTCTGCAAACCTTCCGCACAGGCCGCACTCCTATCCTCGTTGCCACTGCTGTCGCCGCGCGTGGTCTCGATATTCCCAACGTAACGCACGTCGTGAACTACGACTTGCCCTCCGACATTGACGATTACGTGCATCGCATTGGACGTACCGGGCGTGCGGGCAACACTGGTCTCAGTACGGCATTTTTCAACCGTGGCAATCGTAACATTGTCCGCGAACTTGTGGAGCTGCTGCGCGAGGCGAATCAAGAGATTCCAAATTGGCTTGATACCGTTGCACACGAGGTGTCGTTTGGCAGTAGCGGTGGGTACCGTGGCCGCGGTGGCCGTGGACGTGGCGGAGGAGGAAGCCGTATGGGTGGCAGGGACTATAGGGCCGGAGGCGGAGGTGGAGGTGGAGGAGGCTTCAGTAGCCCGAGGAGCAATGCCGGCGGATGGAGTGGAGGATACAACGGTGGTGGAGGCTATGGCGGCAGTGGACCCAACAGTTGGTGGTAAATCCGCTCTATCCACCCCATATCCGAGAATTGCTGCTGCTGCCCGCCTCGTCTGTCCCCGCTTTCCCTTTTCCATTCTTTCTCCGACTCGTACAGAAACAAAAAGCCGAAACTCATAAAAAATTGTCCGATCCTAGCCGCTCCTCTTTCTTCATACACGGACGTGCCCACAGCCGCGTAGCTGTGGGCGACGCCCGTACTCGATTTCGACCTATAGATGACACGAATGTCCGAATTCATGCGCTGCTCTTAATGACCCCGAACCCCCGTCTCGTCTTGTCATGACCCCCCCAGAATAATTCAACTTTTCAATCTACATCAATCATCCAAAGGGCGTGCCGTGGCCGCTTAGCTTAATTCCACCATGCATGATCTTGATCCCCGCGATTTTCGTCCAACCTCCGCATTATATATACCAGGGTTTTCATCTTCTAGAAAGCGGTTCGTTTGCACCATTCCAATCCAACTTCTTTTTTCTATTCTTTTTCGATCAGTCTGTCTATTGTCGTCCGTTTCTCGTCACGCTTTTCGCGATACACGATTCTGCGCAAGATACCCCACCACCCACAACCTCGTCACTGCAATTTTGCATCGACTCTATATTGTATTGCGATTAACCGCGCATTCCATCACGCCGCACAATAATGACGCGCCACGGACTCCTTGCTGGACTGATACCCTACCCTTTTATCTTCCGCCAATCCCTCCCACGCACGCACGCACTATCGTATTGTTATAGATCATTCATCTCCGTTTTACGCACACGCACACGCTTTCTACACACATTTGCATGACGCGACACGAGACACTTGTTTGAGAGCATCGCATATCTTGTGTTTCCGTACTTCTGCTTATTGTACCTTAGGTCCTCCCGTCGAGTATTTCTTTTTCTCTCTCTCGGTTCGTTTATGTGTGTCCTTCACATGTATCCCTTTCCCGACTCCTTTTTCTTCTTTTTCTTGACTTTATTCCGTCTCGTACCCATGATATATTTTACTTTTCTGTTTCTGAGCGCGTCTTTCTATAGTATAGTTGTTATTAGTACAGGCAGCAGACGTATAAAACCGTATAAAACCCTTTTAAACGACATATGTACAATTCTCCGTCCTATACTCGGCGCCGGCGATGAATGAGCGATCAAGACGGCTACACACAGTGACGTTGTGGTCCCCGGTCAGAGA